TGGCCTATTGATATTCCAAGAAATTTGAAATCCGACCACCTTCTTTTTACTGACTTGGGTTCGGAAGCTCAGGGCATCACCTGTTGATCGCGTATTTTTGGACCATTAAAGTTTGTCCCCGAGGTTTTTCGTCTTCTTACTATCTGCCGTGCTAGGAGTCTGGATCAAGCAACATAGCTGGGGATAGAGTACTGCCACAATCCGCATATCATACTGTTTGCTCGCTGCGTGACCGAACCGTAACACTTTTGTATGTCTTCCCCCCATTAATAACTCTCTCCTTGTAGGCCCAGCAGTTAGGACTGGTGGCTCAATTCGCCCCACATCGGCTTTGTAAGCAACATCTGCAGATAGACTGAGCGTCGAGTGGCGATGTGCACTCTGAAGCACTCCACACTCCGAAGCAAGCAGGAGAACAAGCTGCTCTCGCTCTCACACTGGACTCGCTTGGCACTGTATCAGAAAAAGCTGCCGAAGACACACTGTAATTGAACTGTAATTGAACCGACCGTCCCATGACTGTCCACTCGCTTTCGGGTGCGAAACCCTGGCGATCTATAGACTGCTACGGCAGGATATGCAGGGTTTGGCATCGCCGAGTCACTGGGCTGAAGGATTCTTGCTTGACTAGGTAACCGTTGGTAGTCGCCTCTGTGCGGTCCGTCTGGCAGCGTCTCTGGAGCAGTCTCACAAGTTGATCGCTGTCAATTTTGTCGTGTTTGCTTATACTCCAACCAACTTTAGCAACGGCACCATCAAAGATAGGTTTTATGACACACATAATGCCCTGCTGCGGCGAGTCAAAACCTCAGCTATCGCGGTGATTACCTGAATGCACATTTGGCTAGGCTCCGCGCATTCGAGATCAGATTAGATTGTTAAAGCGGATGCAACTCGGACAATGGTAACCGAGTACTTAAGCCGTATGCTGACCGCAAATTGTTTTTTTGTGCAGTAATAACTTACGGCATAGCCAGCGCCGTCTGCAAATATGGTGTTCTTCAACGGCGTGCCAGCTAAGAACCCAATTGACCACTACCATCCATTACCAATGGCTCGGGCCAATGGCTGACTGCCGCTCGTTTTTGGAGCACATTGGTGGATTCAGACCACGCTCTCGTTAGGGTTAGCTTCTCCCTCCGTTCTCAAAGCCACATAGTGTGCTGAAAAATCACGTGGCAACTGAGAGACTGGAAGATGCGGAATAGTCTTTTGAAATATCTTCCCGCTACTCCATCATCAGCTGTGAACTTATGGTGATCCTTCTGACCATTGTACTTTGGTACTTTCTTTGTAACTTATCATTACTCAAATTGTACCACTTTCTATCTCTCACTAAAATCTCAGCTTATTCCTCTTCCCTTCATACCGAATAACTTTTGTTTAAAATGAACAAAAAAGAAATATTGAGACAATACAAATTCTGCACCTCGTGAAAGGCGTGTTCCTTTCTTGCGGTGTCGAATTACGCTGGCAGTGAATCAACGAGCGGTGATCTACCTTTCAGACTACGACGGGATAGAAAGTATCTAGGAATATATCAAGGAAGATTCCAGGAAGGAGATCGCTTTGGATTTATTGTGGTGGTAATAACTAACTGTAACCAACGAACTGTGAGTTGTATCAACTCGCCTATTTTTTCTCACTTGATTTCACTACTTTGAACTAGTATTTGCCCACATTATCGACTAGAAACTCATTCACGGATTCACGGATAGATACACAAGAATTAGGCTTTTGCCCAAGTTTCCCGGATCGGTTTTTTCTTGTCGGTCAGTGGCTGTCTTTCACCTGAAAGGCACAAGTGAACAGAGGGCGTGGCACTGCTCTTTATGTTCTCTGCTCGATGCAGTATGCTTGCCAGCGCGAGGATTCGCATAAATAAATGTCTAACAGTGCTTTATAGTGGGTTCTAGAAGGAGCATGGACAACCGTCGGAGGAAGGTTATTCCACGCCACTGCTACCCGAAATGAGAGAAAAATTTTGTCTAATGAATGTGTGTGCTATGAGGTTGAAAATTTTCTTACTATGCCCCCGCCGGGTGTTTGCTGGGTCAACGGGTCAACTCATACTGGGACGAGAGAGCTACCTGTTTGCACTGCTGGAAATTTCGCCTGTGGCACGGCGCAACCAGGATCACTCGAACACCAGATGTCAGACGGAGCAGTGGCACCACTTAAATCTCTGTGAAATACTCAAGCTGATCCATTCAGATTATCGGAAGCAAGTGAAAGGTGAGCATGCGAGACGACCTTGAAGTCTGCCTGGCATGAATAGCTAAGGATATACAGAAGGCCCAGGAGGCCGAAATACCATAAGATTATTTCGGTCAATCCGTGCGACCGGTTGCCCGAAACAGTCTGTGAGCGAAACCACCAAGCTTCGGAATGGAACAGGAAACTTGACTTAAAATGAAAGGCCTCAAACTTTGGGCTGAATATTTCCAGCAGTGGTTATAGTGATTATCTGCTGCCACTCCTCTGGATTTTACAACTGATACAGAATCCTGGACGGCGAAACTGAAAACCCCTTACTCTCTCGGAGGTTTATGGCTGCATGGTTCCTCCCAAGCGCAACGGAGCTTCTGGTCCGGATAACCTCCAACCCACATTGTTCAAAAGCGGAGGCACTGTCCTCAGTCAGCACCCATCTGATCTGTTTGTCTGCAGTTGCGGGAAGATGGTTGTTCTGGACACCTGGAGAGAGAGGTTTATGGCGCCCTTTTTAAGCTATACGATTAAACGGCCCAGAACTTTAGTATTACTGAGTTTCAAAGGGGCATTCGACTCCGCTGACTGGTCTGTTCTCCTTGACACTCTTGCTCATCAAGAATGTCCAGAGAGTTTGTGAACACAATAAGTTCTTTGTATTCTCAGACTACCGGACGTGTGAAAGTCTACGGAGAGTTCTTTAAAAGTTTCCGTACACAAAGTGATGTCCATCAGGGATGCTGGAAGTTTCCAAACCCCAGTGTTCAAATAGCCCTTGACAAGAACCTGGTCGATCCAGAATATGCAGGGGACATCGTTCCCATCTTCAAAGAGAAGTTGAATGTGTTTTTGAACGAACTGACAAAAGTCTTCTGGTATGCACTTGGAAAACCCGAAAGTCATTCTTGCGGACATACCATCACTGAACACGCCACTTGCACTCCAAGGAGGGGCACTCGAATTTGTGAGGCGTTTTTCGTACCTTAGAAATTGTATTAGTTCAAACTGTAGTGTGACAGATGAGGTCGATGCACAGATCTGTATGTTTCGTGTTGCGCTTGCTAATTTGAGACACCTATAACCTCAAAGCAGTATATCCGTGAACGTAAAGGGACGTGCGCATTAGGATGCAGTATGGGCTTCATTGTTGAATGGTTACGCGAACTGACCTGTTCGAGCAGCGGAACTGAGAGGTCTTCAGTCGTTAAGAAATAGCTATCTCAAGACCATAGCTCATGTGGGCTTCGTATCCGGATACTCACTTAAGTTCCTCATTACGGATCCGTAAAGAGAAGCATAGAAAGTGAGTTTTCGATCGTCCACTGGAGACATACTTAAAAATGTATCCAGCACCGGAGGCTGCGTGGCTGCGAGATGGCTTATTGGTTAGAGGGTGAATTTGCAAACCGAAAGGTCAGTAATTCGAACATCTCTCCTGAGTCTCGACTTCTCCAGTCTAGGCTTCGGCAACATGGTAGTGGCCTAGCCCTCGTGCTTCCTTTGGGTGTCATGGCAGTGGATGCTTTGGCCAGTGAATATCTAGCCCGTTTGTGTCTATCTTGAAGAGCTCATTCCAAATAACTTGGGTGAGTACTTAAGTGCTAATTTTCGAAAAGATCACTTGCGGTGAATGCGGTAAACCCAGGTGTGCTTCTTGACTCCCGTTGCAACGGGTCTTCTGGCACCATTGATTCTTACGGCGGCAGGCGAATCCTTGACCCATGAGCATCAGGCGGACTTTCAACAGGATGGAGGCTGCATCGGCCAAATATAACGCTGGCGATTTTTTCACGCAAATTATTTTCACCGAAACTATAGGGTTTTCGAAGTTACGACTTTGGCGGGGGGTTAATCTAATCAGTTTTCACCCTTGGGTGACATGTTGCACGCAGCATTTTGTTTGGGTGAGCGAAATTGCAAGGTCACGAACCATCACCGATTTGCATTTTCTCACTGGTTTTCGTGAAGTAGAACACGAAATCGCACCTTAGCAAATTTTGGTGTTCTTCGCGGTTCTTTAGGAATAAAAACATCCTAAGAGTATCCAATGCAAATTTCACCCTTGAGGACCAGTTGTTGACGTTTGTTTGCTTCACACACCGTAGGTTTAACAAATGCAAAATTTATCTTGTTCGGCGAACCTGGTCACGAGACATTTTCCCGTGGATCTCAACTACAACATTGTTGGACAACAGTGTGAACTGTGCAGTGGCAACGCGAGGGTCATCTCTGTTGATGACCCCCTTTCTCAGATATGCATAACTTTATACCATGCCACCTGCCAAGGCTATTTATGTTAACTCCCGGGCCCGTATGCGTGCTCGTAGCTGACTATAATGTCCCGAATGTACGCTTTCCACTATATCATTTAAAAGTGATAATTAACCAAATTTGTGGTGTCTAATTCACCAACTATTTCACAAAGCCCTTTGTCAAGAACTCCCGGTTGGTGTGCGCGGTGAACCTGGAGGCTTACTGTCATAAAGGTAAACTCACTACTTGCTGAATCAGTATGATCGGCAATAACGAGGGAGCCATGTGTACAACAATGATTCGATAGCGGGATTCGGAAACCATATGCCCTATTGGGCTCGGCGAAGCTAAATTGAGGTGTTCAATTGTCAGTCGTATGACTTGAGACTTAGGATCCAAGGGCCACACGCGTCCTCAGACGCGTACCCATAGACGCAGCTGCTACGAATATCTAATGCGTGAGCGGATGATTGATGTCAAATCCGCTCGTTTAAAGCACTAAATCTGAAGTTAACTCAATTCCTGATACCGATAAAACATGGCTCAATAAAGTCGACAGCCCAGCCTTTCTCATCGAAGCTCGCAACCATCACATACGCAACGAGAGTCGCATTCTGTACAACAAGGGGCATCCTTCTGGGCTTCATCCAACTCATCGTTCATGTCGAAGTATTGAGACCCATCTTCACTTATGAAATCATGTCGAGTATACACGAATGAATGAGCTAGTAAGATAGACAAACTTGCTTCGATCCGGCTGCCTCAGAGAATGATAATAATCTAGCTGGAGGCTGCAAGGACACATTCTTCAGTGGAAATCCCTGGCTTCTTAACCGAAAAATTGGTAAGTAACTGTCGCCCTCCGGATTTGCCGACACCGCCCACATGAGCAATGGTTTTTGAGACAACAGCTGTCAAACACATGAAAACGACTTAGTTCTGCTTCTCAAATGGGCCAGGTGTTATAGCCATATAGCAGAACAGCTTACACTGCAGCCTGACACACACTTCACTTGATATTCACGAAT